GCACAAGCTAAGTAAAGCTCACGCCTCCGCTGTGCGTTTACAGGTCACATGTTGAAAGTGGAACAAAATAACCCAATTCGTTCCACCATTTTATCTCCTGGATTTGCAACTGAAATAATTATTTTTCTTTCTTTGTCCATTTGAAGGAGTGTCCACATTCAACTGCATCCTAGATTGAACTGTGGTAACTTCAGCAGTGTAAGTATGATTTTTTTCTTGCATATCAAACACTTCACCTAATTAAGGAAGTCTTTTTCTTCTTCCTCAAATGATTAAAAAAATTAATTTCAGGAAGCAAAATAAGTTCATAAACACCTTTAATTTCCTGCTTCTTCAGATTAATTATGAACGTGTCTGATTCTTCTTTGAGAAACCCACCTCAGGAATTTTTACCTGATGCTTCCATCAGCTACATCATTACATGCACTTCAAAGTAAATCAGTATTGCTCTGAACAGATTTTAAGTAAACTGTTATCTTTTATTGTTATTTATATTTATGCCGCTCAACAACAACTGCGAACAGAACTGCACGGGTTCAGTTAGTATGTTCTAAAATCATGTGCTTATGCAATTTAATATGGACACAATTTTTAAACAGTATGTAAAATTTTCATCCGCATTATTTAAGAGCAAAAGTCACATTTTCAAAGGTTGTGCCACCAAGAACATTAAGTTCCAGATATGCTTTTAAAACCTAAAGGATGAGGAGAAAAGGGTATTCCGACCACACAACTGTAGGTACCATGCCTAGCCAGCTCAGTTTACTGCACTACATGAGAAAACAAAAAGGGTTTCTAAGTGAGCTACATTCTGGATCACGCTCTACAAATGTCTTCCTCCAAAGTCTGCCCTTCAGGTGAACCAGTAGCATGAATATTCCTTTGTGCATAAACCACTTCTGAAGTGTCAAGTGTAGAATTTAGCTCCTAAAGCTGTAGGAATGCTAGCTCTGTTTCAGTATTTGATCTCTACAATAGTCACATAAACTACTGGACCAACTGCAATATTATCACAATCCCATGTACATGCCACTTTTGCATCTATTTCATCTAATCTTGCATTAACAGACAGGAATTCCATGCTACAAGGCACTAAGTTGACAGAATGATAAAAAAAAAGCGATGGTCAAATGTTTTGAAAGTTTAATGGTTTCATTATTTAGCAAGTAAATTTCCCATTCTTGCTTCTCATGTTGCTCTGCTCCCCTCCC